TACCAATTGTTGAGTTAATCGATCGATGAAATAGCCAAGAAGGGTAAATTGGCAATTAAAATTTTGGTGGAAGCTTTTGCAGAAAATAGAAAATAATTACACAACGATTTAGAGTAGTTCGACTTTCTCAACCAAAGTCTACGTCCACTACCTTAGCTATCCACACTAAGTATTTTCCAAAAATTCACTAATTTGCCTTTCTTTTGAGGACAAAGAGTAACCTTACAAATCCATCAAGAATTATACCCCAAATTCTTGAGAACACATTCTCTCATAGAGAAATAATACAAATTTCACAAACTTACAGAAAAACCTCACAAGGTAAGATGTTTGCAAAATTCTAGAACGAAGAAAGAACTCTAAAAAATAATACAATTGATTATAAAGGGTGCTCTTGAAAGAAAAATGAATATTGAATGGAAAATAGTTTGAATTTGCTCAAACTTGATGTTTAAGGCTTTCTCTTTGTTTCTCTCACAATTGTTATTGATTAATGGCTTCTAAGCTTGTTTAAATACACCTTGAATCACTCCTAAATGTTGGGGATCATTGGTGAAGTCAATAGAGTCGTTATGGTGTGAAAACAATTAAAAATCTGGTTGGGAGCATAGGTGCATCGGTACACTCTCAGGGTACATCGATACACTATGTGTAAAATTCAAATATTTCGATCGTTATAAGACCTAGTGCATCGGTATAATTAGGGTGCATCGGTACACTAATTACATTCGATGTTTCAAAAGAGCCAGGAGTGTATCGATGCATGGTCTGTGCATGGTACACAAAATGCATTCGATGTTTCAATAAAACCAAGATTGGATCGATGCATGGTTGTGCATCGATACACAAAATGCATTCGAAATAGGGTGTGCATCGATACATCCAGTAGTGCATCGGTACATCCCTTTATAAAATTGATTTTTGGCTCGATTTTGGTTCGAAATACTTTGTAAAAATTGTTTCAAAAATATTTTAAGTTTAAAACATACTTTACACTTTAGTAAGGTTTGAAATTGACCTTTGATAAACTTGGAGTAATATTTGTGATATTCGAATAATTTAATCGAATATAATTTAAAAAATGATTATAAAATCTTAAAATTCAATAACACTTAATTTGTTATATCGAAACAGCAAAATATTTTCAACAGACACCACAACCCCAACTAGCCCACCCCTTACGAGTGTCAGACCTTGCGCCCTAGCTAGACAGTTTTAAGTGTCTTGCGCCCTAGTTAAGGATATTTAGACTGATTCTATGCTTCAAAACCATGAACTAAAGGAACTCTGGTGTCCTAATCATTTTTTGAGCATCAAACAAGGATAGTCTTATTTGTCCCTACTTAATCTCGTTTCTACGTTTGATTAAGCGTTTTTATTGTTCTCACTTGTATTCTTATTTGAGAGTAATCATAGAGTTCTTGGAAACCTCATTTAACTCTAAAACCCTTGAAAAATTATTGCCAAAAAATATACGCTGGTACCGATACTGGACCCTCAATATCGATACATTCCTTGGGTATCAATACCAATTTGAGGTTTGATGCTTTGAAAATATGCTCAGTATCGATACTCCTATAGGAAGTATCGGTACTGCTACCCTGGGTATTGATACTCCCATGAGTACCGATACCAAATTTAGCTTTGATGTTTTAAAAAATACTCTAATATCGATACTTGCCCTCTGAGTATCGATATTGGACCCCGAGTATCGATACTTCTTAAATGAGTATCGATACCCCTTTTAAAACTTAAAGGATTCTAAGCTGAAAGAAGAACAGTATCGGTACTATTCTTAAAGTACCGATACCTTCGCTCGAATGACCTTATTTAGGCTCAAATTTACACTCAAACTCACTTCCATTGCTATTACGAGGTTCCAATTGTTATTAGTGTTATGTGATCAATAAGGTCATAAATAAGGCTTCAAAAACTGCTTATGACATAAAACATGAGTCTACCATTTACATGATCATCAATCTTATTTCTCAATTTTCATGCTATCTAACACTTCTAATAACCCACTAATAAGTATGAAGAAGTTGTAAGTATGGTTACCTTAAATTCTTGACTAATGGCAAATCTCCCAACTCACTCAAGTTGTGCTTTATCCTTTTATTTACCTTTTGCACTTCGCCTCACTTCTTTCACTAAACACAATTAAGAAAAGGGGATTACTAACTTAGCTAGATTATTTGGTTGGGGCTTAAAACACTTCGATAACTTGATTCTAACAAAATAACCTAGAATCCTTGAATTCTATTAAACCTACCCAAAACCCATTTTGAAAACTATACTGAAAAAACTTACAAAATGGAGCTTGAATGAAGCTAGGAGAATAAGGATCTAATCTGGCTCAAACAAACTAAAATTGAAATGCTTGGAATCTCTACTTAAACAAGGAAGAGGAAGAAAGAAAATGGAAAGAAGAGAACGAAGATTTGGTGGGATATTTGGGAGTGGTTCATGTAACATAACATAAAATAAGGGGGTTTTTTAGCTTCCAAAAAATGGGAAATTTATACTTTAGTCCTTAACTTCCTATTTCATAAAATATCATCAATTCCAAATTTCTTTTGGGCCCAACTCAGCCCAATTTCAAATAAACTTGGTCCAAGCTATTTTAATAAATCCTTTGAGCTCTAGGTCTCGAGTTAACCCAAACTATTGACCCGAGTTTCATGGTGTTACAAGACACATCATATACTAAGATAAAATGTCAACACCATCAAAAATCATTCTTATTACTCGCATTCAAAATTTACAATGAATAAACTACTCTACTTTTTTTTTTCAAGAGAGAGCAATTTGCTCAATTTCAAACTTGACAAGGACTTAAAGCTTATTTTAAACCAAATTATTTCAGTCAACTAAGGGTCCGTTTGTTTCAGGGAAAACATATTCTAGAAAATGAATTACATTTTTCTGGAAAACATTTTTTTTTTGAAAATTTTTACGGTGTTTGGATAATGTTGTAATTCATTTTCCACTGGTTGATTGTTTTATAAAATTATTTATTAAACGTAAAATACATATAATATATTATTAACAAAATTTAATTATTCTTAAAATATAGATAATTTATTTAATATTTATGTCAATATTATTATTATTAAAATATTATCCATAATTTTATAAATAAAAATATTATGATTATTATATTTTACTAAAATATAAAAATATCTAACAACTCAATAATATTATTTTTACGAAATTAATAAATAATATTAATCTTATTAATAATTATTATATATTATTAAAATAAAAGTATAATATGATATGTTATAATAATATAACTATAACAATAAAATAATATTATATTATATTATAAAATTATCCAATAATATAATTTAATAATTAATATTTTTATTAAAATAATATATTAATATTAAATATATAAAATAATAATGAGTGTTTATAATTTGGAGTGAAAAGTTCGTAAAATGACTTATAAAAAATCAGATGGTAAGTCATTTTTCAAAAAAATGTAAAGGAAATTTAGTTGATAGGGAAAATGAATTACATTTACAATAAGCTTTCTGTCAACCCAATACTGAAAAAAGAGAAAAACATTTTCTAGAAAACCAATTACAAGAAAACAAACATACCCTAACTATAACTTTGAAATATAATTTTATTTAATTATAATGTATATTTTTATGGTTTGTATTATTAAAATTACTTTTTTATAAATCTAATAACATTTATATTGATTTTTTTATATTATTTATTTTTTTATAACGTTTGTTTAAACCTATAGATTTTAATAGTTTATTTTTTAAAATAATCATCTATTGAAATAAAATAGTCATAAATACTAGTATTTTGAAATGATAAAGTCCCTTATCGACTTTGGATAGGCCTATAATAAAAATGTATGTTTAGATGATAATTATTAACGTCTTTATTTTTAAATTAAGAAATTAATTATTCCATGCTTTTGTGCGTCTAATAACTTCAGGTGCAGAAAACTTCTCGACATGCTCCTCTACCTATAGTAGATTCATCTCTAAGTAATAAGCACTGCTGTTACCAGGCCTATCCCAGAAAATATTGGGGTTTTGTGTTACTTTATAAAAACGATGTCCCTAAAATGTATTATAATAATATAAAATTATAAAATATTAAAATGTAATAAGATTAAAATTAGGAAAGACATAAATAAGATTTTTTTGTCCGTTAAACACCATACATTTAATTATTTTTAAGAAAGAATTGATTACAATTGAATTGTTGAGATAATGAGAGAGAAAATTATAAGGGTTTTTGTTAAAACTTGTCCTCGAAAAAAAAAAGTTCTTCTAGGTTAGTATATTTTTTTTCAAAGTATTGGGGTTTTTCAAACTTAGAGACCATGTGACATATCATATTCTACACTTGGTAATTGGCTGCTACTGTACAATTAAATTCGGTTAGTTGGTCAAGTCGTTCATCTTTATTCTCTTGTATCCTTTTAAATCATATGTTCTAGACCATTAAAGAATTTTCTTTTCTTTTCCTAGAACTTCTCTCTCCCTTCTTTTCTAGATAGAATTAGGATTAGATTTAGAATTTGTAAAAAATAAATAAATAAATAAATAAAGACTATCCTTAATTGAAAATTCTCTTGTACTTGCCCAGCTTTATATATTTCTATAATATAAATGTTTAGATTATATTTTTGAAAAAAAACAATAATGAAGTGATATTTATTTATTTAGTTTGGTTTAATTGTTTATATTCATTCATTAATTTATTAATCCAAATCAATTATTGTATAGATATATTATAGAACGATATTTTTAATTTATTTTATTTTATTTAAGAGATTTAATTCTTCGTCAAATAGTGTATTCATTGATATTATTTACTGTTACTTTCGATTTATAATGTTACTTTCGATTTATAATCCACGGTAATTGAATATCCCTTGTGAACATATAAACTGTCTATAATAAATATATGTTTAGGTCATAATTTATTAAAATATTCAAATTAATCATCCCATGCTTCTTTTGCAGCAAAAGACGACAGATGTTTGTTTGTATAAAGAGCCTCCTCCTAAACCACGGGCAAAAGAATCGAAAAAAAAAGTGAGAAAAATAGTAAGAAGCACTGCTGTTACTTTGTAAACTTTTAGCATCAATATTAATATATTTTTATTATTAAAATAGTAATTTGAGTTAGACTATAAAATTCTCTTATACGGCCCCAACTTTATATATTTCTAGAATATAAAAGTTTAGATGATATTTTAAAAATAATAATAATAATGAACTGATATTTATTTCTTTATTTCGATTTAATTATATATATTAAATTTAATGATTCACTAATCTAAATGAATTAATGTAGAAGTATATTATAGGACGAATTTCTCAATTTGATTTATTTCAATTCATTTATTAATAGATTTAATTCTTCGTCAAAACAGTGTGATATTTTTATTCATTGATATTATTTACTTGTTATTTATATCTTTCATTTCGATTTATAATGCAGGCAGTTCGTCGCTTTAATGCACCAAAGAAATCCATGGTAATTGAATATCCCCTATGAACATATAAAATGTCTATAATACATATATGTATAGATCATAATTTATTTAAAATATTTAAATTAGTTATCCCATGCTTCTTTGGCAGCCAAAGGGATGTATATATAGAGTGCCTCATAGACTACGGGAAGTCAATAAAAATGCCTATGAACCAAGTGTGATTTCTATTGGCCCCTATTACTACAATTGGGAACACTTGTGGGCGATGGAAGCTGTGAAGCAGCGATGTTTTCAGAAGATTCTCGAGCAAAACAACCTTTCCGTCGACGATTTCAAAAGAGCCATCGCACCCTTAGATGCAATTGAGCAATTCTATGAAGATTCTCGCTATGGATATCATATGTTTGAAGAAATGGTGATACGTGATGGATGCTTTATTGTTCAACTGATCCGGAAAGTTTATCCAGAAGACGATATTTTGAACTTTGGACGTATTCAAACTGACATCCGTGTTGATTTGTTGCTGCTCGAAAATCAGCTTCCTTTCTTCGTGCTCTTCAAGTTGTACGGCGTGATTGTGCCGAATGCCGGAGTAGATATTGCTGCGTTCGCCGACATGGCTTTAAAATCTTTGTTCGATATCTCCTTCGACTGTCCTCTTAAGAACGATATCTTCCATCTTCTGGACTTGGTACATAGTTGTCATCTTCCTTCGCCTCAAGGAATAAAAGTCCACAAGGATTTCAAAGCAAAAGCAGCAGCAGGGGCAAGAGAAGCAAAACCCAAACGCTTGTGGAATTTCATACGCTGCGCAACAGAGCTGGAAGATGCAGGAATCAAATTCGAGAAGACGGAGAATCAGAGGAAAGGGATAGACTACTCTTTCGATATAATGTTCCCCAAAGGCACCAATGTGCTGAGGATTCCGACCTTAACCGTCAGCGATTCAACGGAACGTACATTACGTAACTACATGGCGTACGAACAGTTCGTATCAAGTGGGGAACCGACTTATTTCAGCGATTACGTGTTGTTCATGGATAACCTCATCGACACAGGCAAGGATGTGCAGTTACTGTGTAACAGTGGAATCATTGATAATTGGTTAGGGGATGACGAAGTCGTTGCCAAGATGATTAACCATCTTGGAGACTCCATTTATTATTCACAAGAATTCTACTATGCTGAGATATACTGCAGGGTGAATAAGCACTGCCAGAGAAAACGAAACAAATGGATGGCAGCATTGAGGAGAGATTATTTTCACAATCCTTGGTCCATCATATCGTTTTTTGCTGCGGTTGTCTTGCTCCTGCTCACTTCACTACAAACTATATTTTCGGTTCTCTCTTATTATAAGCAGTGAGATTGAAGAAGCCAAAGTCTATTCAAGTAGACCTCTCGAAACCTGCACTCTTAAGATGGTATCACGGTTCCTATTCCTGTGGAGTGATGAAATGGATTTCTTCAGCTTGGTTTCATTCCTATTCTATGCGTGACTTTATCTTTAAGTTGTCATCTTTTTTCCCAGGTATTATCAGTTTATGGTTTTCTAGATTGATTGGAATTCATAATGTGTTTCTGCTTAAGACTTTTGCATGTATTTTCAAATTGTTGGTGTTTTATTGAATCTAGGACATGTCAATTTGCCCGTTTGAAAAGTTAAGATACATTCACGTCCCGACGTAAAGAGAGAAGAGGATAATACTAAAACACATTATAATTATTAAAAAGAGAGATTAAGCTTTAATTATGAATAGGGGTGTAAATGAATGGGACACTGACAATATGATATTAAATTAATGAATGATCATTAACAAAATACAAATCAGAACTATGCATCATGAGAAAATTATCTACAAACCCAAATTGCATACCTAAATTCAATCCAAGACTTCAAAGCAAGAAATATCCACATGATAACAAATAAAAATATCGTAATCAGTCGTGACGAAATGAAATCTAACTTTGGAAAAAATAAACGATAAGAACGACTAATAAAAAAGACTAAATATACACCATGTTTCAATAATAATATAAAATTATAAATGATACGGATACTGCAAATATTAATTCTAACTTAAAACCAACATATCCATTGTACATATACCCGGAATACAAACTCATGATCTCTTTTTTTGATCGAATGTAATTTATGATCGTGATTTCTTAACTATTATGCTATTTATCATTTTCTATTTGTTGGTATTAATTTGATTTTAATCCTTATATAAAAGAATATTTTAGTTCATATGTTATAAAATTCCTCAAGAAGTAAATTTTAGTGTTAAATACACCTTAAATAAGTCTTTCTTAAATTCCTCATGCCCTTATTAGGGATGGGCACGCGTCGGGTACCCGAAAATCAGCTTGAAATTATTTGCTGCTCGAAAATCAGCTTCCATTCTTCGTGCTCTTCAAGTTGTATAGCGTGATTGTGCCAAATGCCAGAGTAGATGTTGCAGCGTTCGCCCCTATGGCTTTAAAATCTTTGTTCAACATGTCCGAGCAACTCTTCTCGTCCCAAGAAGATGCTAACTTGGTACATAGTCGTCACCTTCCTTCACCACAAGGAATAGAGGAACGCCAGAATTTCAAAGCAAAAGCAGCAGCAGAGGCAAGAGAACCAAAACCCAAACGCTTGTGGAATTTTATACGCAGCGCAACAGACCTGAAAGAGGCAGGAATCAAGTTCGAGAAGATGGAGAATCAGAAGCAAGGGATAGACTACTCTTTTGATATAATGTTTCCCAAAGGCACCAATATGCTCAACATTCCGACCTTAACAGTCAACGATTCGACCGAACATACATTACGTAACTACATGGCGTACGAACAGTTCGTTCCGAGTGGCGATCCAACTTATTTCAGAGATTGGGTGATCTAAAATTACAATGAACGTATAGGGAGTATACAAATCTAATTCGAGAGTCCAACGCAGAAAAGATCAACAATACAATAGACAACACCATTTTGATCAGTCTTGTCAATATCAAATAAACCCTTAAAAAAAATAGTTAAAACGACCAAACAATTAAAAAAAGATGTCAAAAGGTAAAAGAAAACGTGCTATAAAGGTATATGAAAACACATCATACAAGCAGAATTATTAAAAAAAATAATGATGTGATATAAAAAATAAAAGGATAATAAAAAATATCGACGGTCGATAAACAACATTAAAATTGATGCAGACGTCGATCAATAAAAATGAATAAAAAGAGTTTAACGACAAACCAATGAGAAAAAATTAAGAGAAAAAAATGCTACAAGTTTTTTTAAATTCTAAATAGCTAAATATTTTGATTAATAAATGATATTATAAAAATTGTTTAACTACAGTTTATTACTTAAATTCTCTCCTTATAATATTTATACTAAGATATTTATGTCGTTTACATATATTTGTAAATGATTTCATGATAATACATTCAATGTTTCTCAATCATATTAAACCCTAATTAAAGTTAGAGTCGAGTTTAATCAGATCTCTAAACAAAATATAAAATTTTCAAACGTGTTTTTATTTATAACACTCAAATTTGATATATATTTAGATAATATTAAAAACTTTTAGTTTTCGATCCAACAAACATCGATAATTCGAACATTAAATGTCACACCCCAAAATAGAGTCTAAAAATTCTCTTAAAATTTTTTCGAGGATTAAATTGATTTTTTTAATTCGAGGACCAAAGTCAAATTTTGATTAAATTTAGATCCAAATTCAGAAAGCAACAAAAGCTGGAGGACTTGTGATATGATTTTGTCATTTTATTTTTTAGGGTTTATATAAACCAAAATATGGAAAAAATTAAATTAATTTTTCTCTCCAAAATTTTTATATTTTAGAAAAAAAATCTTTGAGCGTCGTTTCGTCGCCGATCGTTGCTCTGTTTTTGACACCTCCCGCGCCATCATATTCCTTGCGTCGTCTCGAGTCCACCAGTGTCCTTGTCTCCGTTGTCGCCGACGTGTGAGGGGTGAGGAAGATAAAGTTTCCAACGATTCGAAATCAAGCTCTCCGCCGTTCACTATTGTGAACTGAGCTTGGTAAATGTTTCAAAACCCCTTAAAATAGCTATAGGAATTTTTAAAATAAATTTCCCGACCTTGTACAACGTCGTACGCGCCGCCGCCTGCGCATGGGGAAGTCCCACCGCCCGATGGTTTCTAGATCCTGCTTGAACTCGACCTGACCCGCCTGTCTGAACCCGACCCGAGCCGGTCCAACATGAATTGTTGACCATTGACCGACCGATGACCCAAAAAGTCAATTTTTTCGAAAAGCAATATGTAATGTTTTCGACATCTTGAATATGATTCTGAAGTCCATTTTGCCAAATTTTGACCCGAAAGTCCCGAATCGAGCTCGCTAATCCGAACATGCTTAGTGATTTTAGTATTTTTGCTTATAATTTTTTAGGATTTGATTATGGAATTGATTGAGAATATATTTTTATAATGGTACTCATGTTTCACCTGACCGAGGGTCAGTTAGATCCGATGTTTTCCGTCCGTCAGATCCGCTCAATCCACATTTTACGAGAGTTACCTGTAGGTTTCCATAAATTGTTTAAATAAAGGTTAATATTATTCATATTAAGATTTCGTTATAGATTTTCTGATTCGTAGGATCTAGCGCTGCCGCCGATCGTGATCGACAAACTTAGTAGTAGGCTTCCCTATTAGATTACTCAAATCGATACAAAGTGTGTTTCATGTTGGTATATTACTATTTTCAACTATTTATCTGAACTGTTTGAAATTTCTGATAATACTGAATATTTTTACGACACAATACTTGATTTTCTGAACAAGGTTTATCTGATATCTGATATCTGATTTACTGTATATTTCTAATATGATCTTTGGATTACTGTATTTTCGTATCTGATTTCTGAAAATGGAATATTTTTAAGTTTTAATGGATTAAAATATTGTTTTCATTCAAATACATACATGTTATTTCTGTCATTGGAGGTATTATTGGAGGAAGTATCTCAAGCCTAGTCTATGACTTGTAAGACCATATTGCTTACCGCAGGCTCCTCGGCTTTGTGCTCGGGGTAAGTCCTTTCCGTAGGCTCCTCGGCTTTATGCCCAAGGTAAGTCCTTACTGCAGTCTCCTCTACTTTGTGCACATGATAAGACCTTACTGCATGCTCATTTGCTTTGTGCACAAGATAAGACCTTACCACGGACTCCTCAACTTTGTGCACAGGGTAAGCCCTTACTGGGTGTACATGTGGGTGTTTGGTTCTAGGGAACGTACACATTCTGGTGATCGGACGGGGTGATGTTCATGTTTTTAAAACATGTTTGATAAACCATTTTACTGAAATATTTTATATGTATGTTTTTATACATCGTAAGGAACAAATTGAGCTTTTTAGCTCATTCCGTAAATTTTAACCTTTTCATATAATAGCAAACTAGGCTAGTAGACTTGGCATCAGGAGGATTAACTACTCCTACTTTTTGTACTACTGTATATCTCTATGCCTTTGTTATACTTTGGTGACACGTGTTTTGCTACCGTCTTGATATATGTATTATTGATATTTTGTTCCGTAAATGTTTCATATGATTTTTGATATATATATATATATATATATATATATATGTTTATTTTATGAATACTTATTGATATATTTCGTATTATAATGTTATATGGATTTAACGTTGTTTTAATATGAAAAGAATTTATGAATGTGATATGTGATCGCCTAGATTTGGGCATAACGTCTAGGTCGGGTCTAGGGGGTTAGACTTAGTGGTACCAAGCTTTCATTTTTAAACATTCGGACTGTGGATGGTCCAAAATTTGGATTTTCAAGATATTTTTTAAAAAATCGTGCCACCTTATTTTATGAGTTTAAATATATTCGAAGTTTTGATGCTAGTCTAACTTAAGTTCAAATTCTTTCTGTAAAGCCTTGTGATTTACTCGATGAGTGTGACTAGAGGTTGTAGGCCAGGCCGGGTCGTGGTCGAAGGCGAGCGACTCAAACTTCTATTACGATAGACGATCTTATGTCACCTCGAGATCTTTTGCCCCACATTTAAATCTGTCTATTTCTGGAGATGATCTGATTACTTTTAGTAAAGAATTGATTACAATTGAATTGTTGAGATAATGAGAGAAAATTATAAGGTTTTTGTTAAATCTTGTCCTAGAAAAAATACTTTTGGCAATGAACGGGCTTGGTTGTTACTATGTAAACTTTAGTATCAATTAATATTTTATAATGTTAATATTTTTATTATAAAAAATAGTATTGAGTTGATTTTCTTATTGAGCAAGTAAATTTGGTCGGTTGATCAAGGTGGCACCTTTATTCTCTTGTATTCTTTCAAGTCATGTTGTAAACCATTAAAAGAATCTCTTTTTCTCAGAATTTCTGTCCCTTCTTTTCTAGATGGAATTAGGATTAGTTGTAAAAAAGGACTATCCTTAATTGAAAATCTCATGTACTTGCCCAGCTTTATATATTATTAAATGAAGTGATATTTATTTATTTAGTTTGGTTTAATTGTTTATATTTTATTCATTAATTATTAATCCAAATCAGTTATTGCATAGATATTATAGATATTATTTACTTGTACTTTGATTGATATGTAGGC